TAAGCTTTTAGCTGTGTTTTTGTACAGTGGTGACTTCATAAGCAATGGTTAAAACAACAACTAGGAGACGCCCTTGTTGTTTAGATGAGTTATAATTCTCGCTTTTTATGGGAAATATTTTCTTTTGCAATTTAAGAGGGAGTTTTTGGAAGTAATTTGTCATTTTTACAGTCTGGAAATAACACATGTTATTGACTTAAAAACTTTTTTCTTTGATTTTCTTTGGAAATAGAATTGTTACTATTTTTCTCTTTTTAGTCTACGATAACAAAATTTACATCGAAATATTAAAGTATTATTATATTAAAAGACAAATTGCAGAGTTTCTCCCTTGAAAATGTGTGTGTGTGTGTGTGTGTGTGTGTGTAAGGGTGTGTGTGTGTGTGTGTGTGTGTGTGCGCGACGTTATGGTTAAAATTGTAAAATCGACTCAAACAATGATTTGGATAAACTTTAATCGTTTGGTTTTAGATTAAGAAGGTCATTGAAGACATCTGGTAATACATTTTTTTCTTCTATTTTTGTTTTTGTCAATACGCGGTTGTCTTGTAAAATCGAGGACAAAAATCGAAAAATTTAGTGCTGCGCTTTCACTAAAAACGAAACTATTTAAAAAACGTATCAACATCGCTGAAACATCGTACAGAATTGAAGTTTTCTATCTATAGTCGTTTTGAAGAAAACTCCAAGACAATACCATCCTCTAAAATTCGCCAAATCTGCAATAATTCATCAGAAGTGAAGTCATAAAAAAGAAAATCATAGTATTATTTTTATTAGTATTATAAATTGATAAGACAATCATTAAAAAATAGTTTCCCCTCTCTCGACCCATTTTCAAAAATGACCCCCATAAAACAATTTTTCTTTTATCCATTCAGAAGTTTTCTCATCCCTTTATTCACTATCTTAAGACTCAAGTGAGCTTTTCTTGGGTGAAGAAAATTTTTAAGTTTATTCACATGAAACGTCACGCCCTTTTTCAAGGGAAGATAAAAATTCCTAAAAAAAAAATTGGTGGCATCTCTTAAAGATGTTCTTCTCAAGATCCACCAGGTAATAAAAGATGACATTTATGTGAAAGCTTTATTAAAAACAGTAAATTTAAGTCAGTTCCTATCTTGACTACCCAGGATAGTGCGGGATCATATTATTATAGTAGCATCATTAGGTAGGGCAAATTTTAGTCTGTTCAAATCATGAACCACAGGGGTAGGGCGGGGCCACAACTGTGGGTCCTCAGCTATGTTAAGGAAGGTCTGAGTTCACATCTGTGATGCACTGTATGTGAAGTTTCATTGTGACGTCATTGAAAATTTAACAAGCGATAAAAATCTATTTAACCACATGATAATGCGTAAATAACATCTTGCATTCTTTTATTTTATCAATTAATTATAATAGCATGTAAAATCACAACATCTGATAACTATACTGCCGAGTTATTTGAAGCAAATCTTGCTTCATAAATGACGTCACTAGCCTTGACTTGACGCAGTACAAGTGATCTAGAGGCGTGGATCCATTGGTTTGATAATTTAAAAAAATGCTTAAATAAATATTAAACCGTTGCTAATGTTTAAATCTAATGAATAAAATTAAATGGAAATGATTTATTTAAAACAATAATGTAGATTATTAATATATCTAGGTGCTATGGAGCTGCACAAAGACAAAGTATGTAAAGAATATCGCTAACACGATGAGTGTATACCTGATTAAGCTCAAAAGTGCAAGGGCATAGACTAGACTGTTTGAGCTGAAATATGGAATATCAATTCCTTATTTCATGTATATTTTGAAAAGTGCTGGGAGCTGATTCTGGTCGGCATAACATTATTTTTATTCATGACAGAATTTAAGCGAAGTGGTAATTCTGGGCTATTAAACGCATTTTCGGCAAAATTACGAGTATTTCCGAAACAGCTCAAACTAGCTCCCAACACTTTTCGGGAAGCCAATGTTAATCTTTTTTAATATGTATCAATTTTTTTCTCTAAAAACATGCTTATGCCCTTGCACTAGCTCCATTTTCTACATTAAGCTGAACAATTCTATTTTTATACAAGTCACGTGACACACAGCTGATACATGCGATGTAACTGGTACTGAGTAAGCCACAAACCTATCCATTATGGATATCTATATTACCTGTCCTACATTTTTACAGTTACTTTGTTACAAAGATTTTTAAAAATAATACGTATTAAGTATGTGCGTAAGATCGAATTTTCCATTTCCTTCCTTAACATAGCCGAGTCAAAGTTTTACATAGGAATATATAGGAAATATGCTTAACGATCTCAAGAACATCAATGCCATTATTACTCAAATTGTTATAGGTGCATCCTCAGATAGCTTCGAGTATGTTCAAATCATGATCCTGGGGTTGTATGCAGTCACAACAGGAGGTCAAATTTATGCATATGAATATATATGGGAAATATCTAGAAAGAATTTCTTCCTAAGAACAGCAATTAGCCATTATTTCAGTAGAATCCTCAGAAGTATCCTCAGCTAGGATAGATTTAAGTTTTTTTTTTTTTTTTTTTTTTTTTTTTTTTTTTTCAAATCATGACCCCCAGGGGTGGGGCGGGGCCACAACAGGGGGTCAACATTTTACATCGGAATTTATCGGGAAATTTCTTCTTTTTTTTTCAAAACCTATAAGGCATTATTAGTCATATTTATACAGAGACAATCTTAGATTGTGTAAAATAAAGGTTGTTAAGATCTTGTCCCTGCCTAGTGTCAAGCACAGGGGATCAAAGTTTTACATGGTTATATATAATAAATATTTTCAAAAATCTTCAAAGAACAGCAAAGTCATAATTTGTCATATCAATACAGAAGCAACTTATGTTTTGTTTGTTTGTTTGTTGTTTAACGTCCCTCTCGAGAATTTTTCACTCATATGGAGACGCCACCACTTGCCGGTGGAGAGCTGCAAATTTTGTCCTATACTCGGCACTTACGGCCATTGAGCAGTGAGGGATCTTTTTCGTGCCAGCACCTACTGCGACACGGGACCTCAGTTTATACGGTCTCATCCGAAGGACCGGTCTCCACGTCCCACAGTGGGATTCGAACCCGCGACGTAAGGATCAACTCCTTATTCCGCGACTCTAGAACAGACGCTCTAACCACTGCGCCACGCAGGCGACAAGCAACTTATGTAGTGTAGATTTAAGTCTGTTCAAATCATGAAATAAAAACAAAAATATTCTTAGGTGGGTATATTAACGTTATGAATAGGAATGTATCATTCAAAAAAGTTCTTCTTAAGTACAGAAGATGATCTGGCATATTTAAATTGAATCATTCTTAAGTAGTGTTAATTGAAGTTTGCTCAAAACACAACAACCTGATGTAGGGTGAGGAATATTGAATGATTGATTGATTGATTGTATGTTGTTTTACGTACCATTTGAAAATGTTCACTCATATAGAGACGTCGCAATATACCGATGAAGGGCGTTAATTTTGAGCCTTTTATCGGCATTTAGGGCCATTGAGCAGTGAGGTTCTTTTTCGTGCCAACGCCTGGCATGACAGGGGACCTCGGTTTTTAAGTTTACATCACAAGGACTCGCAATTTTAATTTCAAAGTGCCAAGCGCTTGACAAAGGAACGGCTGCTACCTATTTTTTATCGACTTAAGTCTGTCGCCAGGGTTCAAATGAACGACCTTCCGAGCTGTCGACGTCGCAAGAGTGAAGGTAAATGGGGTGGAAATAGGGAATCAAAATTTAATATAAGAATGTATACAAATAAATCATTAAAAATCTTTTTTCGGGAACAGCAAAACCATGATGTCATATTTTCAATATTTACGTGAAACATCTGCGGGCATTGTAGAGTCAAATTGGTTCAAATCATGACCCCTGGGAGTAGAGCGAGACAACAATTGACAATTAAACGTGAAAATAACGAATATTGATTTATCACAAAAAATCTATGAACAATACTAATCTGTGGAGAAGGCATATAATACGCATCCCTGGATATTTCAAGGGTGAAATAAGGTGCCGAGGATGAGTGAGCATCCCTGTTGTGTGGTCACAACCGCCATGGGCCCTACGTATTGATCAGTTAGAGGAAACATTCTTCAGTCACATTCAGTATAAAAAGAAAAGCCGAACAATTGGCATGAAACAATCCATCCAAAACTCCACCCAATGAAAATTTATACATGTATTTGCTAACAAGGTCATTATAACGATCATAGAATTTACGCAATTAAACGACGTTGTTGAAATCCTTGTAACATCAACTTATTTGTCAATAGCCTGCCTCTATTAAAAGATTGATCGTCCTCGGAACATGCTCTTGAGTATCGTATTAATTAAGAGAAGTAAAGACAATATGCAAGTGATAGCGGAATATTACTTCATAAATAAGAAATTTGACAACGGAAAAAATGAATTAATCCCGTTTGTCATAATAATAAAGCTGTAGTTGGTCCTTTTCGTTTATGAAACAGATATGCAAGCCTCCGTGGAGTCGTTTATTTCATGTTCATTTGAATATATCGAATCATTATAGAATGTTATCAATGAAAGTAACTATTATTAACAAGTGAAACATCATTGATCCCGAGTTGAAGACTACAGCAAGTATATTTTTTTTCTTTTCATGTAATTTTTTTTTTCTTCTCATGCAGATTTTTTTTTCAAATCATGATCCCCTGTAGGGTTGGGTCGTAATATGTGATCATAGGTTTTCATAATAATATGTAGGAAAAAAGAATCTGGTGATGAAGAACAGAGGGGCCATAATTACTCAAGTGAGCGTGGTGACTCATGGGCCTCTTGTACATGTATTCTCTGGTGTTTTTCATAAAAAGTATTGCCCTACCTACCTACCCTCCCATTCCTTTTAAATTCCGTGTAGGAAGAGGGCTAGCAAACATTTTTTTTAAACAAAAGAAACCTAATCATAAAGTATCTGTGCAAATTGATACTCACAGCTGTGCAGTTAACTTCGGTTATATTTTGGTTGAAACATGTCACATATTCACAATGGCTTGCTTTGCATTTCTGGCATTTGATGAATACACTTCTATCTAAAATTGATTCTCCTGGGGAAAAAAGACATCAAAGAGGTGCAAAAATCATTTTAATCAATATTGTGATATTGTTTTCTCCTTATTTATTAATACTGTACTATCAGTACTATAATCATCCAAAATTATAATTTTTAAATACATTTAAATTTTTTATTAAAGTGAAATCATCATTTTTCCAGTGGTAGGTTTTTGTACGCAAGTTCATGAATGTCGTGGGTCACCCGCAAGCCAAAAAATTATATTCTAAGTAACAATAACTTTTCAACGCATTTGATATCCTATTTATATCTTTTCTCAACAAGATTATTTCCCTATGAGCCAATTGAATTTTAGCTGTCTACGAACATTAACCACGAATAATACTGATCATAGAAAATTCAAAATGCGTGTTTGCTAATGATGGATACAATATATATGGTATTTTTATGCCCATGTATCGAAGGTTCGGGGGTATATAGTTTTTGCCCTGTCCGTCCATCTGTCTGCCTGTCTGTATAGCTGTCTCTTTGTATATCTGTTTGTTCGCAAAAATTTTAACATTGCACATAACTTTTGACTGGTTGGAGCTATGGCTTTAATGTTTCACATGTTATTCCTTGTGACAAGACCTTCCTTCGAGTACCATTATATTTGACCTTTGACCTTGAACTTGGAGTTTGACCCATTTTGCAAAATTTTACCGAACTTTAACATTGGCCATTACTTTTGAACGGTCGGTGCTAGGGTTTCTTCCTTCATATGAGTAATCCTCATGACAAATCTTTACTTTGGATACCAACAACTTTGATCCTTTGACCTTGACCTAGGAGTTTGACCTACTTTTGAAACACATTAACATTGGCCATAACTTTTGAATGGTTGGTGCCAGGGCTTTCATACTTCATATGTGTAATTCTCATGTAAAGACCTTCCTTTGGATATTAACAACTTTGACCCTCTGACTTTGACCTTGGAGTTTGACCTACTTTTGGAAAACTTTAACTTAACCTTGGCATTAACGTTAGAACCGTTGTAGCTAGGGCTTTCATTCCTCATGTATGTTATCCTTGTGATAAGACCTTTTAAGACCTTTGAGATTGACCTACTTTTGAAAAACTTTAACCTTGGCCATTACTTTTGAACGACAGGTGCTACGGCTTTCATATTTCACATGTGTATTTCTTGTTAGACAGCTATTCTTTCGGCACAATTATGTTTGACCGTTTGACTTTGACCTTGATATTTGACTAAAAACTAACCTTTTCCATATCTATTGAATGGTTGCTGCTAGGGCTTTCATATTTCACATGTATATTCCTCGAGACAAGACCTTATTTTGGGTACCAACATATTTGATTTGAGAAAATTGAACATTTTCTATAAGTTGCCGTACGGGGTTTTCAGTCTTTCACAAACACATCTTGGTTTTCTATGTAATTCTTAGAAATGACATAATCAGTCATTCAAATATTGTCAAACTTTAGATTAGATTGTTGATATAGAATCATTCCTACACCTGTAAATATTTGGAAGATCTGTTTTACTGCCACAGATCAAGTGCATGAACGGGAATTTTTCTGTATATAGTTTGAAATATCTGACGGTTCTGACGAACTCCTTGCAAGTCAAGACATTACTAAGAAAACAACACTGTGCAAATATAGTAAAACATTAAAACAGAAGGCTCTGACGAGACTTTAGTTTTACTTGTTTGCACTTATAACAAAGAAAGGTAGAGGTAGCCTTTGGACTTAAAGCTATGCAACAACAATTAATTGAATAATGATCATTGGTTTACATGTAGTCTTTTGTGTATTGTATTCCGACTAAAATTATCGAAGAAGAGGCCTTTTAAAAGATTTTTTTTCCAGAAATATCTACAGTAAGTTCTAGTTACTATGGCAACATTTCATAAAATAAAAATAAGAACAAGGAAAATTATTTATCTCAATGTAGTCTCAGATCACAATTGTACAAGTAATAGAATTTAGAAAGTATTACACAGAAATTTATAATTTTAGAAACCATAGTGACTCTGATATTTAGAATAAAGAATTGATGTTCAGATTTATATGAATTAGTGCATTCTACTTGACAATGTGTGCAAAGTTACATGTATATTTAAACAAGACTTAAACTGTAACAGGAGTAGCGTTTTAAAAGAGCTTCTCAGATATTTATATTTTTAGTAACCATGGCATCATCGTTCATCGAAATAATAATAAGAAATGATATATAGAATTGTTATCGTACTTCTGGGTCATGTTTTATTAAAATCGGATCAAACCTTTAAGAGGAGAAGCATTTTGTATATTTTTAGAAGAACAGACTGAGAGACAGACGGACGACGGACACCATACTATCGCATAAGCCTTTCTGGTTGCTGGCGGGTAGTGCTGAAAAGGGGGACATTAAATACCTTGGTCTTCCGATAGATATTTTTCTCGAACAATACCAATCCATAATGGAACATCTGATGTAATGTTGATTATTTTACATGCTTCCTCAGCGTTTGTTAAATCAAACTTTCCCATCTGACTGGTACTGATGTTAGATTTACAACTTAGAAATGATTCTTTCCATCTCATCTTTTTATTGCGTATTTCTACAAACAATTATCTAACAATAAAGCACATAGTTTAATTAAAATTAGCGAAATCGTTAATCAAAATAAATGTAATAGAAATATTAAGATATGAATATTTCTTACCAGAAAAGCCACAAATGGCCCCTAATTCATCTGTGCAGTCATGCTGGTAAAAAGGTGCATCATCCTCGTTGCACTGAAGTGCAATGCATAGTTTTCCATCGTTCAGAAATGCAGATTCTATATTTAAATCATATTTTCAAATTCGATAAAATATATAAAGTAATTATCTGATTCGATTACATTGGCTGGTACCTTAAAGGTGCTTAGACACAGATTTGAACGTAAAATTTTCTCAAATTTTCTGTGTAATATCACGACTTATATATTGCAATAGCATTTCACACGAACATATAATTAAAAACTTATTTTATCTGGAAATTATTGGAACTAAGAATTCCGGGACGCGTTTGATTAACACTTACACAATTTTAACTTTATCCTTAATATTTAAGAAAAGAAGTGATTTTATTATGTATCAATGAAAAATATTACATCTATAATCCAGAAAATTCAGAGTAGGAATGTTCAAAAGCAAATTTAAACCAATTCACCAGTATTGTCAGTCCGTGCTCTGTGATGTGTACAGAGTTAAACAAATTAACACTCCCTTGAAACGTAAACTGTTTTTGTAAACAGGGCACGAGCTCTGTTTTTTTTTTTTTTTTTTTTTTTTTTTGTCAATGTTTACGATTCACCGGGGGTGTTCAATTGTTAATCTCTGCACATACCACTGAGCACGGGCTTACAATACTGTGAGTCGGTTTTGCTTTCGAACATTTCTCCTCTGAATTTTCTGGGTTATAGTTTTAAATATTTTTCATTAATACACAACAAAATTGCCACTTTTCTCAAGTATTAAGAATAAACTTAAAATATGTGAATGCGCAAGGATGTGTCAATCCAAAGCGTTCAGAAATTTGAAGTTTTAATAACTTCGAGATGAAAGAAGATTTTTATTATATTTAGTATGAAATGCTATAGCAACATATAAGTCATGAAATTATACAGAAAATTTCGGAAAATATTAACTTCAAATCTGTGTCCAAGCACCTTTAAATATGAGACATAGTGTAGTGTTTTCATACATCATTCAATAATTTGTGTTTTGTTAGTACATTGAAGTAAACTATAAGTTAGAAAACCATATTTTTATCTCATTCTTTCTTCCACACATTACTCAGGTAAACAAGCATTTGTTACATGAAATATGTACAGATAACGAAAGGTATTCGAGCTCAAAGGTCCATTAAACATTACAAAATAGGAGCAGAGCAAACATGGACCTCTAAGACATCAAAGGGATCAAGTGGCATGGAGGAGTGAGCATCCCCTCCGACCGGTCACACCCGCCATATGATTTTTGTCATGATCGGGAAATAACGGAAAAATCTGTCGACAATTCAGCGTGTGAATAATGGCCTAACAATTAGTATGAAAAAAGTCAGTCAGCATTTGACTTAATGATACATTGTATTTGCTGAAAAAGGTCATTGTATCGAACATAGAACTTACGAAATGATGACTTTAAGCGAGACTGCTGATATTCTTGTTTCATCAACTTGTTGGTCAGTAACTTATCTCGTTTAAGAAATTGTTCATAAGTAGAACATGCTTTGGCGTATCGAATCAACTGAGAGATATAAACCCGTAGGCCGAAAAATGATCTTATAGAGAATCATTCTTTAAAACGTCAGCCGGGCGCAGATACATGTAATACTGTTCTCCCGCCTTCGGTTACATGGTTATTTCAAAGACCGATGCATATCTGCTTTTTTAAAGGGGAAAACAACTTTGAAGACGTCTTTTAATTTTAAGACAAAAGCAATGTCAGAGTAAAGATTTTTAAACTATACTTGCAAATGAGAGTACACAATTTTTTTTAGTTTTTAATTGAACTGACAATTTAATTATAATTAAGAGCACGCCCTGTAACTAATTATTTACTGATTGTATAATTTGCATAATCATAAGCACTGGCACAAAGACCAGTAGGTTATACATGTATTTTTCTTAAATAGTTAAAATAGTTCTGCATTACCAACAGTTGAACACTGTAGATTGAAAAATATTACTTATTGGGTTTATTACTCACAGTGGGAGGCACTATCTCTACTTCTGTCTTTGATGATTGTGAATTTATTTAATCTTATTAATTTTAGTACAAAAAGAAAAATAATAATAATAAAAATAAAATAAAAATAATAAAATAAGATATGCAATATAATAGTAGATTTCAGCAAAATACTTTGTGATTTTTTTATAGGCTTAAGTAAAATAATTGATTTTTTGTAAAAAAAAAAAAAAAAAAAAAAAAAAAAGAGCACCTGCAAACATTAATGAATGGAAATGAAACTGGGTCCATATTAAACAACAAATGATAGTGTATTGTAATAATTCAACATTCCTAATTTTGCTTTAGAGGTTCTCTCGATTGATTTCCATTCAGAGTAAAATTACCGATATTTCTTGCCACGCTTTAAGTAATCAAAGATGTGTCATGTTGTAAATTTTGAATTAAGCAGGTGTAAGTAAATACAAAATTTACGTTGTCATGTTGTAAATTTTGTATTTACTGTCACCAAGCGCGATAAATTAAAAATTTACATGACACATGAAATAATCTTAATCATTGTAAATATTATATGAATGAACAATGGCTGAACTTACCAGTTTCAGTTGAAAACACACTAAAAGCTTTTTCTCCTCCACATTCAGTAGACAAAATATCATCCTCTTTATTTGAACAAGCTATATTGCATTCATTCAGCGGGAGTGGAATAGCTTTAAAATCATTCTGGAGACATCGACATTCACTGGCCTAAATGTTTATTTTGATCGTCTGAATACTTTTTTTTTTTGCATAATCATGCTTAAAGTTTCATTTCAGCTTTTATTAAATTAATACTCTCTTATGTATTTTGAAATCTGAAATCTGAGTTCTTTTTTCCAAATATTATACATTTATTGCACGATCGTGAAGGAAATATGAAGATTTATTCAGCCAAGATAAATCATATTCCCCGAGGGCTTTGCCTGAGGGGAATATGATATTTCTTAGCTGAATAAATCTCCATGTTTCCCAAATATTCATGCAAAAAATTGTTTATTATATCGAAACAAGCAAAAACTTTAAAAATAAATATAAACTTTCACATTCAGCACCGCTCTAATGCCCTGTTCACTCGGAGAGTTTAATTCGAATTAAACGTAAGTTACTGCGAATTAAATTTGATCCGCGTTCACACGGAGAATTTAATGCGAATTAAATTAATTCGAATTAGTTTACTGCGAATTAAATTACTTCGCATTAGCTCCATGTGAACGCTAAGCGAAGCTAATTCGAATTAAATTTTGACGCATGCGTAAGGGTAGAATTTAGTCAAATGCCACATGTCGGTGGTCAAATATAGGTATTTGTGCTATTTTTGAGTGGAAAACAAAGGAAAACTATGTTAATCACTAAAAACTGTACAGACACTATATAAAATTATGTCAAATGTATATATGCTCTACATAATGTGACGTGATTTGCAAATGACGTCATAATAGCCTTATAGTAGAAATAAAATTTAATTCGCATTAGTTTACTTCGCATTAGCTGTCGTGTGAACGCAATTTAATTCGCATTAGTTTAATTCGCATCATTTTACTTCGCATTAATTTACTGCGAATTAAACTCTCCGTGTGAACAGGGCATTAAATTCACTCTCAATATAAACTTATGCCCTGTTCACACGGAGAGTTTAATTCGAATTAAACGTAAGTTACTGCGAATTAAATTTGATACGCGTTCACACGGAGATTTTAATGCGAATTAGTTTAATTCGAATTAGTTTACTGCGCATTAAATTACTTCGCATTAGCTCCGTGTGAACGCTAAGCGAAGCTAATTCGAATTAAATTTTGACGCATGCGTAAGGGCAGAATTAAGTCACAGACCACATGTCGATGGTCAAATATATGTACTTGTGCTATTTTTGAGTGGAAAACAAAGGAAAATTATGTTAACCACTAAAATGTGTGCAGACACTTTGACATTATGTCAAATCTATATCTGCTCTGCACAATATGACGTGATTTATAAATGACGTCATAATAACCTCACTGAATAGACTTGTTGTAGAAATAAAATAATAATTCGCATTAGTTTACTTTGCATTAGCTGTCGTGTGAACGCAATTTAATTCGCATTAGTTTGATTCGCATCATTTTATGCCCTGTTCACACGGAGAGTTTAATTCGCAGTAAATTAATGCGAAGTAAAATGATGCGAATTAAACTAATGCGAATTAAATTGCGTTCACACGACAGCTAATGCGAAGTAAACTGATGCGAATTATAATTTTATTTCTACAACAAGGCTATTCAGTTAGTCTATTATGACGTCATTTACAAATCACGTCATATTGTGCCCAGCAAGTATACATTTGACATAATGTCAGTGTCTGTACACATTTTAGTGATTAACATAATTTTCCTTTGTTTTTCACTCAAAAATAGCACAAGTACCTATATTTGACCATCGACATGTGGCCTGTGACTTAATTCTGCCCTTACGCATGCGTCAAAATTTAATTCGAATTAGCTTCGCTTAACGTTCACACGGAGCTAATGCGAAGTAATTTAATGCGCAGTAAACTAATTCGAATTAAACTAATTCGCATTAAATTCTCCGTGTGAACGCGGATCAAATTTAATTCGCAGTAACTTACGTTTAATTCGAATTAAACTCTCCGTGTGAACAGGGCATTACTTCGCATTAATTTACTGCGAATTAAACTCTCCGTGTGAACAGGGCATAGATATATTACTGGGAGAATTTAGAGAAGTTGTGATAACTATTGCGGGAAAATGCTCTAGGTCTTCGAAGAGGTTGAATATGGTGAAAAGCATTACGACGACAGGGAAATATGAAGTTTTATGGCCCTGTCAAATGATAGTCTAGAACTAATCAGATAACGCGTTGTATAGAATAATTATAATGAGGTATAGTAATATATTTAGAATTCAGTAGCAGTTGTGCAAATTGTCCACACGCTTTAATATGAAATATAATAGTGCATTGTGAATATCGAGGACGAAATAGCAGTCCTTAAGATCTATTAGAAATAAACTGAAAATATCCCAAAGAAGGATATATTTTTCTTTTATGATCATTTATTAACAAATGAATTATTAAAACGTACATGTATAATTAAAATGTCTGCTTTAGTCAAAATGACTCCAATTTGAATAATCTGATTAATCATCAAGAATTCGCTTATCGAATCCTGAATTAAACACACACACACACCCTCACACACACACCCTCTCACACTCACACACTATTTACATATGGTTATATCCTACGGCATACCTTTACAGCGTAAACACTATTGTGTAGTCTTAAACAATGTTCTTGGCATAATCCTATTGATGGGTAATCGGTCATGTTGAAAAAAGAATTTCCAGGTACATTGGACTCTTTGTAGCACCCTTGAAAATTAAAAAAATAATAATAATAAAGGACAGAATATAACTACGAGTATTTTCGAGTGTTCCAAGGTACACATGTTTCACCTACTTTATAGCATCAACATAGATAACAATAATCTAAAGATGGCCAGCTATTTATTTGTTACTAACATCATAGTTTAGGCATTTACCTGTAAAGAAGAAAAAAAAAACATGGATAGTAAAACCGATAGAAAAGAAAATATTATAATAAAATCTGACTATCAAGTAGAAATATGATTCTTCAACCCTGAAATTTTAATCCAACTGTCCGGCAAAAGAGATTTTAGAGTGTCTCCACTGCAATTCAGTCTACAAGAATCTTATCTGAATACAATCCCTACGGCGCCGCTGGAGGGCCAGATAATAAATGTTCGGACAAATTAGAAATTACTTCGAACAAATTAGGTATTTGTCTGGACAAATTTAGATTTTTGTTCTGACAAATCAGATATTTGTTCCAAAGAATTAGATATTTGTTCCAAAGAATTAGATATTTGTTCTGACAAATTAGTAAACATAACAATAGGCGACAGGACACCTCGATTAATGCGTGATAAGCACCTAAAAATCCCATCCCACATGCAGACGATGACAAGAAAGTATTTTAATTCTTTGCAAAATAATTTTTTTATGACAATAATAAGAACAATTTATTTCATAAATAAATATTTGGCTGATATGAAAACCTCTATTTCTTTAATTTACAAATTCAAAACTCTGAACGCATTTAAAAAAACCCGTTACTCAAAATTGAGAATACACAAGTTTATTCAACTGTTCGAAGTATTTTTTAAAGTAGGTCAAAGTCAAGGTCAAATGGATGTAATTCTTTTTTTTTTTTTTTTTTTTTTTTTTTTTTTTTTTTTTTTAATAATGTTTTATGACAAACAGTGCACATGATTTATTGGCATAGATTTACGTCTTTAATACGAAAAACAAGCTGCATGTGTACATATATCAACACAATGAACTATTTTGAAAAATAGGGCAAAGGTCAAGTTCAAGGGTCACGAGATCGATAAACAGAATATTTTACAAAAGCAAGTCCCAAGCAAAATATGTGCGAAATATCAAATGCATACCTCTTACAGTTCTCGAGTTATACATGTACATATAGGGTGTGACAGATGGTCAGACGGACGGACAGAAAAGACAGACACCAGTTAAAGTGATACATAAGTGTCTCTCTGCTCTGCAGACGACAAAAATAGCTACTGAGCAATGTTAGTAATGGTTGAACTCAGAAATAAATTCCTACAATGTGTAGAATAATTTCGCTATAAGAAATAATCACAAGAAGTAGAGTTAGTATTCAGGAAAAAAAATGATATAGATCATGTGATTACTCACATAACCTGATAGAGTATCAATTTATTTGTAAGTAACTTTTTTTTTTTTTTTTAGAAATATGTGGGGTTGATACATATATGTATGGATACGCAGAACTCCTTTCTCTCTTTGGCCTTAATCAACCTGGTGTATGGGTAATATGGACTGTAACTAACAGACCTTATGTTTGTTTTGTTTTGCTAAAGACCAAAATATGATTCGTTTGCCTTTTGTTATGCATTCTTCTTTGTTTATCTATGTAAATATCCAGGATCTTTTAAGGATCCTCCACACACCCCTTATTTAATTGAGCATTACTTTTAACAAGGACATCAACCCTTAAAAACTGGGCAGAAAATAAAATTATATAATTTATACTGATTTAATCAAGTATTTCAGAATTTTAAATATATTCATTCCATCCTGTTTTGATAAGTAGCATAGCATATTATGCGTTTTTTTTTTCTTGGCAAATACATTTAAGCTCACAATACAACAACAAAAACTTAATATATCATTCAACATAAATGTATTTAAGAAAAAGTCATAAAAAAATATAAATCATTTTCTCTTAAATACATATATGAAAAAATAAGGAATACTTCTAAGAGTATAGAAGAAACATTAATGAATCAAATTACAGGAAGGAATTGAATTAAATTCAAATTTATTGATGCAGATTTTTTTTTTTTCAAAATTCTTGGCATCGAAGTTCAGTTTTAGAGTTATCTTTCCTGTTACCGAGGACTAAAATACTTCAGCAAGTTTCCACTTATGTCATCATACTCAAGTTACTCGTTGGTAACTGAACTGGACAGATATAAATGAGCAAAACTAGATATAAACACTGTTTATCAATAAAATGAAATAATGAAATAAGTGAATTGAATGAAATAAGTATTATTGAAACGCGAAAATCTTCACAAGTAGTAAGTTTTACAGAAGACCTTGTTGACGATATCGCAATGGATTGATCTGGCAGAATATTTAAAATAAATTATACGACATTTTCCCAAAAATACCACTTATTTAAGGATTATTATGCTACGAATAGTCTAAGGTCTACTGTTCTTTTAATTAAAAAAAATCAACACCGTTTTCTTTCGACGAGCATGGCATGTGCTCAAAGTTTATGACTAAGGTGTGGTTTTTATATTACTGAATACTTTTCCCTTGACAAATATTCATCTGAAGAGCATTTGTAAGACTCTTTAACAGGCGGTGTCAGACAAATCGTCAGTGCACAGACTATTCAAAACCGGAAGTAAAAGTCTTTTCGGTATATATTTCAAATCACGGGTGTGGAGGATCCTTAAATACAAAGTCAATGGAAATTACAAAAACTTAATGATTTAACTGAAATGTGTAAATTTAAGAGTATAAAGTAACGAGCTTGTGTCTGGGTGAAGGAGTGTGTGATTGCATGCATCACAGAAGTTACCTAAGTAAAAAATTATATCGGTTTCGATGTGCTCTTTTGCGAGGGGACTCTCCGCTGTGCGGTGTTCTTGTTTCATACTAATATTGTATACTTGATGAATTGCATGGTACAGTGTATCTGGTACTTTGCATAAAAAGAAATCAATAATTGTTAAATTCAATTAAATTCCTTTTTACGAAACTGTTACATGTATGTTGACATTCTTAAATTCACAAACGAACTTATTGGGTCATTTTGTTAGGTATCATACAGTCAGAATTTATATCATATACATGTCAAACATGTTAATATACACATAAAAAATATGAAAGATAGCTATAGTAATCGTTTACAGGTTTTACAAGGTTTATCAAAATTTATCCTGTAGAGAACAACAATAAACCCAAAGTTTACAAATATGTAACAGTATCCATATCAGTGTTACTGGTGAATGGGCCTAAACATATTTGACTTCCTAAATGAATCTACCAAATATATCAGTTTCGGTAAAATTCAAGAACAATGTAATTCACAATCCTTCTGCTCTTACTTTGATTTTTTTTTAATAACACATGTAATACAATAAATGTAACCACTGGTTTTGTATACCTGGGTTTATTCTTTGAAGTTGGATCTGATTTCATTTTTTATTTGAAATATAGATTAAGTGCATTTAACATTTGATAGCACGCAATTTTGATGAAATCCTATGTGCTCATCAGAAATATATACAACCATGGCTACATGTGTAAGCTGGGTTGTTTTATGTTACAATTTTATCTAATTAAATCATTTGTATAAGAACTATCTGGCCTTAACTTCCTTCCTTACTGTGTATGGTTTCCTTCAAGTATTGCAAAAAAGATATTTCACAAATTAAAATGTATTTCTAAAGTTTTGTCTTACCTAATATTTTTATCCATTGAGAAAATCTTTTGTGTTTTCCGGTCCAGATAAAGTTTAATGAATCCGATGCATCAGTAATTAAACGTTTGCTTGAATTTCGGCAAAGCTCTTGTGCACCAAACCAGTCATACGTTTCGCTTTCTGACCCAACTAACGAAGAAAGTTTAAATATACAAGATACAGGATAAGAAGAGAAGAATACATTTCAATTTACTGTTTTGATTTTGCATGTCCTTAAAACACAAAATCAAGGTATAAAATGTTTCCTCCTTTATCGGCAATTTGATAACGTTTTCAAACACCACACATTGTATTCTAGAACATTGAAATGTTCACACAAGTGCGTGTTATACATGTAAAAAACATAGAGGATCCAGGTAGCATTGATTTTTTTCTCTGACAAAATCAATTATATTATTAAAACAACTGGTTTTTTTCCCTTTTATTAATTAAACACTTTTTGAGCCGTTTGCTATTTTTTTTTTTTTTTTTTTTTTTTTTTTTTTTTTTTTGATATTGTTATATGTTATTCTTTTGTGTTATGCTCATGGGGAAGCGAACGAGGGGTAAAAAACTTTTTAAAAGCAAATTATACTGGCCGTTAAAAACATCCTCATGATTTGTTTTAATTATGGTCTTCGGTCAAGAAATAGAAAACACGCAATGGATTAAATAAAAATTATATATTTACATTTATTTCACAAAAAATGAGGAATCCAGACCTTTCAATAAAGAAAACAAATTACCAGAAGCGCAGCATACAATTATATTGATTATTCTTCCTATCACTTTCATTGAAACCATAATTCTTTGCCTTTTACATCATCCAGCAGATCTTACTTCTGAAATCGATTAAAACGTACACTTATGACGTTTCATTTCATTTTTTTACCTTGGGAAGCTCAAAATTTAAAGAAAAATACGAAAAAAACATGCCTTATTTTGAATTTTCAACACCATGGTTTGGTTGTTTTTGATCTTCGGTAGAAACAATGTTAACTTAAAACCAAAGAAAGCTAAAACTCCATATAAGCACATCACTTAACCTCTTCACTGGCTGTAAATCTGCTTCACATATATGACTACTGCAAATTTACTTCGGAAGTATGTCCAAAGAAAGTTTTGTGTTTGTAATCTTTAATTCTTATATTAGCATGTCTTGTATTTTAAAGATAGCATTATGTGAACTTCCCTTTAAATTTCATTGGGATTTATAAAATCATAATTACAAAGACATATTACCAAAAATAATATGACATCAAACTTATATATGAATGAAACCTTTAGAATTTTATTGAAATAACTTTAGAGATATGATTTGGAATGCCTCTTAAATAAAACAGTTTACATTGCATAGTTTTCACCTTAACTCGATAGACACTAGATAATTAATAACAAATGTAATGAAACCCGTATATAATGGACATAAACTGTAGGCTTGGTTAATATATGGCGGTCCTTTTCTTTTTGCCATACACAACTCTAATTGGCATTTTTGTATTTTTATAACTACTTGTACAGAGTACGTCTTTGCTAAAAATAATTCAGATAAATAACTCAATAAAGCTCATCAGAAAATCAATGATGTATCATGTTTAAAAGTTTGAATTTACCAGGGTGGCAGTAAATACAAAATACACAATATGATAACTTTGCAGAGCTGTAAATTTGGTATTTACTGCCACCCCGTAAAATCAGAAAAAAGATCGTGACAGATGGTTCAAGAAAGCAAAATATCTTACCTTCTCCTAATAAATTTTGCAAGTACATTATTTAATGCAAGTTGTTACCAGTTACAAGGAAACATACCATAACTTTTTCCCTTTAAAACTCTTCCTGTTTCTACACCTATTCATAAATGTTTACATTTTTTTCAGTACTGTTCAACAGGAAGAACACCGTATAATTGATATTTCATAAGGTCTCGTGGAAATTCAATAAAATAAATGTAGGTCTTTTTATGTCCTTCTTCCAATTTCCAATAGCAAAATTATCTTCCGAACTGGGAGAGCTCTAAGCCCCCCCCACCCCCCCACCCCCCCACCCCCCAACAGTACAGTAAGGTGCTCAATGGAAATATCAGCAATTTTTGTTATTAAAGATATATTCTTAATCATGATGGCGATTATTTTATTACTTTATATATATCGGACAAATGTAATTATGGTAAATAACTACATATTGTGGACGATTTAATTTTATACTTAGACTTGTCACGTGATGCGGCAGTCAGGTGATTTCATCACATTTACTTGCAGTATTGAGGTTACCTATAAATTTCACTAGTGCAAGGGCATAACAAAGTTAAAATTCTAAGTTTAGTTTATAAATATTTTCAACACTCATCGTAGTTTCTAAGAAGTGCTGCGATCCTATATAAATTTTGCTATTTTATTGTTCAAATTATATTCTAAATTGTATGTAAGCTGTATTTTTTGCTGGTCAACGGCATTTAATATACATGTAGATATAATTCATTTTCAAGATTTCATCAGGTTCGCAGCACTTTTCAAATTCCTTAATACTTCTAGAGTTTATTTGTAAAAGCTTACTATGATCCAATGAGTGTATGCCTTTGCGCTAGATCGATTTATGTAGACCCTTACATTACCCTCCAATGCACTTGCATACAAATACAGTATCAATTAAATAGGAAATGTGCGGAAAATATATAAATAAAATTATAAAGAAGACATTGCATCCAAGCAAGTGTCCTCTTAATTATCTCAATATCTTAAATATTTTATCAATTATAGAATACATTTTTCGTTGAGAAAATATTGCTTGATCCGCCTCTCACCACATACAAACTGCGTTTTACGAAATGAAGTCACATTTACAAGTGTATTGCGATCAGTGACTTGTTTATTCCTTGCTATGTGGGATTTAACTAACGACAAAACAGCATATTATAGTAATTAAGTTTTGATGTAGTTTGATGGTCTCCTACAGTTTAAGATAGCAAATCATTTCATTTTATTTTAAGAAGTGTTAGTTCGTATGATGTCATAGTTAATATTTCCTTAAAAATTAGGCTCCGCCACCTTTTTGTAGCCTTAATTGTGCTGCGCTTTCCATGTTTTATGAAATTGAAGAGAATATGAAATCACTATACACTGTTTCAAATCATTCAAAATTCCATGAAAATCATTTACCACTGTAACATATTTTGTAGCTTAACTATAGCAGAAATCTAATCCAGGATTTATGGATAGTTGTTTCAAATGTTCCTGTATCTTATGATACTTCCTAAGGCATTTTAAAATTCTATTTTAAGTTAAAATTGTAATATTAAATGTCAGTATTCTAACCATGCTTAAGACTACATTTGCTATGCCTTCCTTGACATAGCAGAGTCACTTAAGAATACCTCCCTAGACCGTCAAGCTACCGCCACTGGACCCGTCTTTCTGCAAAGCACTGTTTTGATAAAACCTTTCGCCTTGTTAACCTTCATCTCTATATGAGGTACACACTCCAAATTTGTTTTTTTACCAGAACTGCAGATGATTTTAAACGAAACTCCAACTCCCGCTCTTGCCCTTAGATAATCAGTAATGCAGTCCGTTAGGTACGTGTATCAAACGTTTTTGTTTTGAAGTCAGTTTCAGTGGTCTTCTAGCTCGTGGACGGTACTCACTTGATCCAGTACTCTGAGGGTGACTAACCAATTAGTGAACAGTTGTTTCTTTGACTATTAATTGACAAGAAACAGCAAAACTTTTCTGACAGGATCCACAATTTGAAAAAAAGTGTCTTGTAGCTTTGTTGGGGAAAGTCTCTAACAACCAATTTTAATTGTCGTGTAGTGTATGTATTTTTCTTCTTTCTGAATATCAACTTTTATTAATAAGCAATTATTTTCAAATATTGTCTGCCTAGAAAAACATATTTACCCAACAATATCCAGACATGTAGTATCGTTTTTGAAAGGGGCAGACAGTGAAATCCCAAGATAATAAAAAAAAAGGGGGAGGGGATTACCCAACTCGACATTCCTATTTCGTCCTTGGTGGTGGTGGGGTTGGGGGTATATTCCATTTTTTTTTTCATGACCAAATTTTACTCAAGCATTATTTTACTATGATCCACCAAAAAAATGGAAGAGGGGGAGCAAATCAACCTTTCAATGAACATTTTCGCGAATAAAAAGTATTCTTTGGGAAAAAAAAGTAGGGTGCAGCCATTCCCCCTCCTTCCTGCCCATCCCATATTGATACTACGTGCCTGTAATCATACTTTACACCGGCTACTTGCAAGCGGCTCTAAATCATTCAATTGTATAAGGTCCGGGTTGGTTTTAATCGCATAGTAATATGTGTGCACGGAATTCATTAAACTTAATTCCATGGGAAATTTATTGTTATGTGGCTATTTTTTCTTCCCCTTTTGCTTGTGTATAATTTTTATGTGTTTTTTTTTTATTTGGATGATTGTTTTCATGACACAAAAATAATGTGTATGTCTTTTTGTGAGATCACTAGTCATTCTGTGCCCTTGGTCCTTTTTGACACTCTATCCCAGACAATTATTATCAATTTCTTCAAATGTTTATTGTGAAATTTGTGTTTTGATGTCAGAAAATCATTATGAGTTTTCTTGTCTTTTTTCAGCAAAAAAAGTACCTATTGACAAAACATATCAAGTTTTAAGGCAATGTTTATGAATGAAATGCTTAAATTTTAAACTTGTAAATAATTGTCTATGATTAAGTCTACATCGCTCTGGTCACTCACACAAAGTAAACACATCAAGAAACATTTAAACTGACATTTAACATCAAAATATACTACATGTAGTATACTTGTCAAAGAATAAGGTTTATAAGGAAATTTATTCATTTACCTTCTTAAAAAAAGTTATATCCATTCTCTTTATAAATTCTTTAAAATCATGTGTCAGCTAAAAAAAAAAATAAATAATATTCACAACAATCAAATTGAATTTGAATTATCATACATATACTGGACTCCTAAACTTCATAAAAATCCTTACAAACCAAAATAAGTATCGGGTTCCAGTAAATGTTCTACCTAGTCTCTTCTTTTACTCCTCGCTAAAATAATTACAGCAATGAATGAGAAACTTCAGAAGTATACAATACATCTGAGAAGTGGTGTAAATCAGATGTG